AAGACCAGCTAGGGCAACATGGTGAAAACCCATCTTTACAAAAAATACAAAAAAATTAGCCTGGCATAATGGTGTGACGCCTATAGTCCCAGCTACTTGGGAGGCTGAGGTGGAAGGATCACCTGAGCCCAGGAAGCTGAGGCTATAGTGAGCTGTGGTCACACCACTGTACTCCAGTGTAGGCAACAGAGAGAGACCCTGTCTCTAAATAAATAAATAAATAAATAAATAAAATCCATGCTGATTCCAGAGACCATTTTCTAACCAAAATATAACACTTCTTCAACAAATGGTCTTCTTTCAAAACTAAATTATCATTTTAATATATCTTATTTTTTTCTGTTTACAGATATAACCTGTACTCATTTGGAAAGTTGTAAACATTGTGAACATACACATTATGAAATTCCCCCCATAATCTCACCCTTTAGGGTAATCGTATAATTTCCAAAACTTACTCCTGTTTGAAGATTTTTTTTTGCCTTATCTGAAAGCCAGAATATCGTTTCCTTAAAGTTTTTCTAGAAACCATCCCACTTTTCACTTTATTTTTTGAAGTACCACTTGCCATGAACTGAAGGTAACATCAAAAAGAAACGCAAGGGTGGGCGTGGTGGCTCACACATGTAAGCCCAGCACTTTGGGAGGCTGAGGCAGGAAGGTTCCTTGAGCTCAGGAGTTTGAGATCAGCCTGGGCAACATAGTGAGACCTCGTTTCTACCAAAAACAAACAAAAAAACAAACAAAAGACAAAAAACAATTAGCCAGGGGTGGTGGTACACACCTGTAGTCCCATCTACTTGGGAGGCTGAGGCAGGAGGATCGATTGAGCCTGGGAAATAGAGGCTGCAGGAAGCTATGCATGGGGCTGTGCAACCAGTGCACTCCAGCCTGGGGTGAGACCCCGTCTCAAAAAGAGCCAAGGAAGACCAAAACCACCATGATGCTGTTGAACAGTAGCTGGGTGTTGCTGTAGGCTGGGGCTCTGACCCAAGGCCTGGCCTCCCCTTGCTGAAAAGGTCACCAGCGTGAGAGGTTTGCAGACTTGTGAGCACCTGACTGAGACTTTCTCCTTGACTAGTCTGAAGAATGAAAGAGAACTGAAAAGAGAACAACTTTGTCACTTTATGAGTCAATGGAATCGGATGCCCTCTCCATGCACCTGTAAGATCCTCTTGTAAACTCCTACTGGATAGGTCTTTCTCTGGCCAAACACTGACCTATCCATTTCAATAAAAGGATTCTGCAGCCCAAAAACACACTGGACACCTTCAAGAACGCAGTAAATAAGACTACTGAGAGACACACAAAACAGCAGGCTATTTCTCTCTTCGAACATGATGCCATGGTAAGATCTGAATGCCTCAAAGCACCAGCTTCCCAAGGCATGGACGTTCCTTCCGCTTCACCAGGAGGGACAGAAGGGACCCTGCAGGACAAGGAGCTCCTGGGGATCTGGGATGGTACAGGATCCATCCTACCCTCAGGGGATAGGTGCTAAGGGCTCAGGAAGCTTCCAGGGGTCAGCAGGCTCTCTACATTGGCACAATCTTTTAGAAAAGAAATTTGACATAATAGTTTTAAACATTTTAAAAATGAAAGTTCATATACCCCTTTAGGAGTCCATTCTGAGGATCCAGAATGTGATCAAAGCTCTAGCTTAGAGAATGCTCACCAGGACATTGCTTTGCCTGGATGGCAGTGGGAGTAGCCCTCCCTTCCTTGAGACAGAGATGGCTGGCTGGGACACCAATCCCCCTGCAATGCCACAACCTATAGAAGGCTATGGCCTCCCCTGGGAGCTCTGCGATTCCTGCGGAGGAGGTGGGCAGGTGCTCCTCTAGCTGAGGGCTCCTGCTGTCCTGCCTCGGCCTCCACAGTAGCTGAGATTACAGGGGAGGGGCGTGCCAGCACACCTGGATATTCTTGAATTTTTAGTAGAGATGCGGTTTCACCACGAACCTAGATGCGGTTTGGCCAAGGTGGTCTCGAACTTCTGACCTCAAGTGATCCGCTTGTCTCAGCCTCCCAAAGTGCTGGGATTACAGGTGTAAGCCACCATGCCCAGCCCAACCCATTGTTAAATTATGTGCAAAAACATCATTCACAATAAGCACTTGGGAGCACAAAAGCAGACGTTAAACAGCATTTTCTCCTCCTCCTCTCCTCCTCTTCTCTGCTTTCTTCTCTCCACTTTTTTGTTTCTTGCCATCCCCTCTGACTGGTTCCCTCTTCCTCCAGACATCATGGTCCATGGTTCCCTGCCATGCTCCCTTCAAGTTCTCTCTCAAATGTTCCAATACCCCTATGAGAAGGCCACGCCTGCTTCTCTACCCAGCGTGCTCCGCCCTTGCCTGCCTTGACTTCTTCCCTGCAGTCATCCCCGCCTGACCTCAGATGGCATGCATATCTTTGTGTACTTGTTCGTCTGTTTCTACTGCCACACCAGCTCCGCAAGGCAGGGGCTTGGTTGTGTTCCCAGCTGCAGCCCAGTGCCTAGCGCAGGGCCTGGCATGGTGTGGAAGCTCCGCAGAGAAGCTGAATGCATTCACAGCAGCAGGTGTGGAGCCAGAGCCAGCATCTTCGGTGCTGGTACCCACCTCACATGGAGCAGAGCACATTCCTGGACTCACCAAAAATGCCCTTCTGCCATCCTACCCCCAAGAAGTTTTTGGGAGTCATCTCTCTATGTGGGTAGCCTCCCTCTGCTTTTTCTCCTTCCTCTCTTCTCCACTCTCTCTGCTCCCTTTTCTTTCAGGAGTAAATAGAGTACCTCCACACACACACTCTGTTTCCACCATCTGTGTGCTGGTCCCTGTTGGCCACTTTGCACACAGGTCCAGACACCCCAAATCCTATGGAGGTATTTTCCCAAACATATTCCTTTCTTCTGTCATTCTGGTGAGAGCTATTGGAAGAATTAAGATGTCATGTCTTGGCTTTTTTTTTTTCTTTTTACAAAAAGACAGGGAAAACATATTCCACGTATAATACAAGAAAATGAAACCCAATATAAATGTCTAACAATGACAAATACACTTCAGACATTCTATGGACAATTATGCCACCATTTTAAATGACAGTATAACCATATTAAAGACAAAGGGCAAAGTCCCTTAATATGAAAAGTGCTTTTACAACTCAAAAGCAAAAAGACCAAAAGCCAGTGAAAAAGTGGACAAAGGCTATGAACTGGCAGTTTATGGAAAAGGAGCTATAGGTGACTCAAACATTTGAAAAGATGTTCAAACTCATTCATAATAAGAGACATAGGCCGGGTGCGATGGTTCACACCTGTAATCCCAGCACTTGGTGAGGCTGAGGTGGGCAAATTGCATCCGCTGAGGTCGGGAGTTTGAGACCAGCCTGACCAACCTGGAGAAACCCCATCTCTACTAAAAATACAAAATTAGCCAGGCGTGGTAGCGCATGCCTGTAATCCCAGCTACTCCGGAGACTGAGGCAGGAGAATAACTTGAACCTGGGAGGCGGAGGTTGCAGTGAGCCAAGATCATGCCACTGCACAACAGCCTGAGCAATAGAGTGAGATTGGCAACACTTCCGGTTCCCATCCTTAGATTGCCTCCAAAGTTTTATAGTGTTTGCATTTGCATTAGTTTGCCTGATCTTTACCCCAACTTTGTTTTGTATGGAAAACAGAGTGGAGACGCTGGGATGTTGTATTCATTTCCTAGTGTTGTCACGGTGCTGCTGTATCTGCTGTCACAAAGGGCCACAAGCTGCGTACATTAAAACAACAGATGTTTATTCTCTTGCAGTTCCAGAGGTCAGAGTCTGAGATCAAGGTGTGGTCAGGGCCAGGCTCCCTCTGAGGGCTGGAAGAGAGGGTCCTTCCTTGCCTCTCCTGGCTCCTGCTGGCTGCAGGCAATTCTAGGTGTCCTTTGGCTCCTACACGCATCACTGCACTCCCTTTGCAGTCCATGACTGTCTTCTCCCTGTGGGTCTCTGTCTTCACGTGCCCATCTCCTTTAAGGACACGAGTCCTATTGGATTCAGGGCCCATCCTGCTCCAGTGTGACCTCATCTTCACCAGTTATATCTGCAACAGCCTTATTTCCAAATAAGGTCACATTAGGAGGTTCTGGGGGTTAGGACTTCAACATATCTTTTGTGGGGAGGCACAATTCAACTCATAACAAATGTGAAAAGACATGCTAAGAAGTTATGACCGGGTGTGGTGGCTCACACCCATAATCCAAAACTTTGGGAGGCCGAGGCAGACTAATCACTTGAGGTTAGGAGTTCGAGACCTCATCTCTATTTTTTTTTAAAAAAGGAGGCTGGGCAAGGTGGCTCACGCCTGTAATCCCAGCAATTTGGAAGGCTGAGGTGGGTAGATCATTTGAGATTGAGAGTTCGAGACCCACCTGGCCAACATAGTGAAACCCCATCTCTACTAAAAATACAAAAATTAGCTGCATGTGGTGGCAGGTGCCTGTAATTCCAGCTACTCGGGAGGCTGAGGCAGGAGAATCGCTTGAACCCAGGAGGTGGAGGTTGCAGTGAGCTGAGATCACACCACTTCACTCCAGCCTGGGCAACAGATTGAGACGCTGTCTCAAAATAATAATAATAATAAAAGAATAAAGAACAACAACATCAGCAAATGAAGTTTTGCTGAATTTTCCTCAGAGGGGAAGAGGGTATGGGTTTGGGGGTCTGAGGGGGCTGACCCAGCGCTGCAGACACAGGACAGCCCTTATCAGATTCAGGAAGAAAGCACGAACCTCAGCATATTGTGAAACTCTTCCAACAACCTTCCCCTCCGTTTGTCTGTATTCTTAAAGGATCCACTGCCCCTCACACTTGCACAGCACTTTAAGGTCGATCGAGGCACTGGGTGGGCAGGCGTTATCTCATTCAATCCACGAAACACACTTTGTAGAATAAATCTGCATATGTTCATTTTACAGATGAAAAGCCAAGGTTTCGAGAAATGGAATGGTTAGTTCATGGTCATGCAGCAAATACCAGGTGCTGAGAGCCCCAGTCTGTCTGCCGTTCACACCAGCTACAGGTCCACCTGGCACTGCGCTTCTGGAGACAAAGCAGGTGGGCATCATAGATGGCCATTCTGGGCTATGGGTCAGTAAGGTTTGCAGAAAGCACGCTCAAAGGGAGTTTGGATACATCTGAAAATCATCAGACACATATAGATACATCTGAAAAGCCCATTGCTTTTCAAGGTTTATTTCTCTCTTAGAGAAAAGGAAAGTGATTTGGAGGGACCATGAGGCTCCAGGAGCTGCCCCCCGTCCTCCCTGCCTCCTACCACGCCTGGGTTTTAGAAGTTGGAAACCGCAAGTTTTCGAACTGCTTTTTATGTCTGTAGAAACTTCGACCTTTTACAAAAAGGAAATATAAGAACCTGAGCTTATAAAATGGATGCAAATGCTACTGAAGGTAGGAGCCTCTCCCCATCCTCCCCGAATGACCACCCCAGCCAACTCCATGTCGTGGCTCTCTGGGGGGAAAAGAAGCTGAAAACCACATGGGAATACAAAAAGCAAGTAAGGAAGCGACACCCACGTATTCACCTATTATGAGGTTAAATGTTCCTTAGAAATGACCTGGAGATTTGACATTAAGGAACAACTATTTAAATGTTTGTAGTATGCTGATGATATTGTCGTTTTGTTTTTAAAAGATGTCTTATTGCCATTGGGTTGGGGTCTCCACGGCCGAACTGGTCTCAACAGTTATCTTTTGGTACATTCTGAAATACCTCAGTGGAGGTGCTATGCTGTCTGACATTTGTTTCAAAATAACCAGTGGTGGAGATTGGGGTGGTGACTCTCCAAGCTGGTGACCTTGGGGTGGTGACTGTCCAAGCTGAGCGTGCTTATGTGGGGCTTCATTATATGAAAACCCACAGGTGAGCGTGCTTATGTGGGGCTTCATTCCATGAAAACCCACAGGTGAGCGTGCTTATGTGGGGCTTCATTCCATGAAAACCCACAGGTGAGCGTGCTTATGTGGGGCTTCATTATATGAAAACCCACAGGTGCACAAGGCTCAACCTAATTCTGTTCCTTCTACTTTAGGATATGTTTGGAATTTTCCAAATAAAAAATTGTTTAGGCTAAAAAGTCTGAATTGTGTACAATGAACAGTGTGACTTATGTAATTCTTTTAAAATCAATGAAAAGTTGCAAAGAAAAAGACACACAGAGAGAGGGCTGGCTCCAGCAGGTGACAGGAGCTGCGCGGGGAGGGGAGCACAGCCGCTGACCGCGTCCTCCCATCCAGGCGACCCCCATCTGCCATCCTCTGAGGACCAGCAACTCTTCCTTCAAACTCCCTGGGCCGAAGGCTGCGCGCGCTCCCCGGCCACAGGCACCCAGTCCGCTCACCCGGCCACCCGTCGGCCACCCACCCGGCCACCGGCACTTCCCGCTCCAGGCCCTCTGGCAACCCCTCCACCCCTCTCGGTGCAGAATTCGAAACCCGAACCACCCGCTTCCGCAGTCCCGCAGTGCGCGGGGCACTCACCCTCAGCGCTCCCGGCTCCTTCGCGATCTGTGCGAAACTGAAAGTAGAAGCCGCCTAGAGCTGCCCGGCCTGTGCTTGGAACCAGCGGCAGTGCTGAGAAATCACGTGGATTCGAAGTGCCAGCCCGAACCAGATGGGCCTGTGGGCGCGGGAGGGCGGGGACCTAACACACACGCTCCCCGCTGCGACCACACCCTGGGACCTCCCCGAAGTCCCGCATCGGACCCAAGGACAGTCCCAGGAGACTTGGGGGCGCTCGCCCCTTTTGTGGACAGGAAATTGAGGCAGGGGAGTGAAGGTGGGCTCACGTGTGGAGCGCGGGTGGGTGGGGACCTGGACTGAGACCCTGTCTCAGTGTCTCAGTGGAGACTGGGTTGGATGCGAGGGGGATGCGGTGCGGGAGGAGGGGACTTAGAACTAGGGGCAGAGCGGAGAGCGCTCCAGGATGAACCAGGAGAAGGGAATGACAGCAGCGTTCCTTCCCATTAGTAGAGCCCTTGGCGGGCTGACCCGGGAAAGGCAGTCTACCAGTTTATCTCGTTAAGTAACCTTAAAAAACAGGTATCGCCCTGTTTTCCAGGTGAGCAGCTGAGGCGCAGGGAGGACAGAGGTGAAGGAACTTGCCCCAGTCACAGGAGGAATCACAGGCAGAAGAGGGTGACGGAAGGAGGGGGGCGGGAGAGCAGGGAAGGAGAGGAGGCACTGGTGGGGGCAGAAGGAAGGAGAGGTGGCTCTCCCAGGATGGAGTCAGGGGCCGTCCTGAAAGTCCAGCTTCAGCTTCTCCAGGTTTTTGTCCACAGCCTGGGACAGGGAGCTCCCTTGCTGGATGTATTCATCCTGTGGGCAGCAGTGCCTGTTAGAAAGGCCTTCCACCCACCTCTCAGTGACATCCCACAGGAAAGCAACTTTCACTCCCAGACCACTGGTGCTTCCCTGCCTCCCAGGCCTGGAGTGGTGTGGGTGTGAGGATGCTGCAAGGTAGTGGTCAGGAGACAAGCATCATCAGACATCCTGGGTTCAAGTCCTACCCTCCACCTTACCGTGTTAGATAGACCCAATGCCTTGACTCCTCCGTTCATCCTGGAGTGTGCTTCTGGGCCAGGAGTGGGGACTCTGTTTTGTTTTGTTTTGTTTTTTGAGATGAAGTTTCACTCTTTTGCCCAGGCTGGAATGAAGTGGTGCAATATCGGCTCACTGAACTTCTGCCTTCCGTTTCAAGCAATTCGCCTGTTCATCCTCCCAAGTAGCTGGGATTACAGGCACCTGCCACCACTCCCGGCTAATTTTGTATTTTTAGTAGAGGCAGGGTTTCACCGTGTTGGCCAGGTGGTCTCGAACTCCTGACCTCGTGATCCACTTGTGGGATTATAGGTGTGAATCCCCGCACCTGGCGGGATTCCCGGGTTCTAAGTTCCCTCCTGCACAGCATCCCCCATCCCCTCCAACCCAGTCTCCACCTGGGGAAGGGGTAGGGGGGAGTCAGCCGGGGGTCCCCGCCTACCCAAGCTGGGCAGGTGAGCCGACCTTCACTGCCTACCTCAGTTTCCCATCCACAAAAGGGGCAAGAGCCCTAGTGTCTCCTGAGATTACCCCTGGGTCTGTGTGCAAGGGCTGAGGGAGGCACCAGGATTCGGGCTCTGCTGGGAGTGGATGTGCCAGGCCCCCACCCATCCTGCGCCCACATCCCCATCTGGGTCCAGGCTGGCACCCCGGTTTTGCCAAGATGGGGATGGTGTTAATGCTAACTCCACATAGAGTGGTTGTGATCATTTGATGACTTAATGTTGAGGCTGACGCAATCTGTACCTGAAGCCCATAAGCTGCCCTTATATTTTTGTCCCCTTCTACAGGCCCCACGTCCTCATGAGACTTAAACTGCCTTCCTCCTAGGACCAACTCAGATATCTACAAATTGCATGACAGCGGAGTGAGAAGGGCACAGACTTTGCAGTGACCGCTTCTGTGTGACTTCCAGCTTCACCACTCCTGGCTGTGTAACCTCAGACAAATGCCTTGACCTCCCCTGGCCTCAGCTTCCTCATCTGTCAATCGGGGTGTTCCCAGCCTCCTCAGGCAACTGGTGGGTGTGGTGGGAATGGGTGAGAATGTGGGTGTGAGCTGTATGCTTGGGAGGGATTGATTATGTTCCAGTATCAGGACTCAGCTCATGTTCACTGAGCACCGATGAAATGATTGGTCCTACACGAAATCCCAGGAAAGACACTGGCCTGCTCCCCGTGCAGGCAGGGGAGGACAGACAGACACATGGACAAATAACCACAATCCAAGACACAAATGCAGACCATTTTCAGATGCATTTCATTCTGAACACCCTCGTGAGGAGGGCAGGACAAAGATTATTATCCCATTAGGCAGATGAAAAAGCTGAGGTCCAGATAGATCAAGTCAGTTGCTGAAGGTCACACAGCAATCAGAAGGAGAGCTGTGTCTCGAACCTGGAACCCTTTTCACTGTGGGGGTTTATTGCCAAAGGATTCTGGAAGGGCGACCTCCCCAAACTTTCCCTGTCCTCAGACCGGCTTGTGACCCGAGAGTCCGCTATTAGCACATCATTCCTTTGGCAAAACATGTGCCAGCTCCCCCAGTGTCAATCAAATGGCTGTCAGTCATTTACACTTGAGTGTGAAGAAGCGAATCAGATTTTATGGGTTGGAGATGAGAAGGAATTTGAGTGTTTGGACTTTTGGGTGGGAAACTGGAGATGTGAGAGGAACGGCTGACACCACAGAGAACTCAGGAGGTGGGTGGGGAGGGCGTTAACTGGGGGATGGAGAGAGCCCACATGACCTGGCCACCCCTGTGTCCCTCACCTCCATTAGGTATAACCAATATCTGGCATTTGTGGAGCACTTAGGATGTACCAGACACTGGGCCAGGCACTGTGCTTTTTTTTTTTTTTTTTTTTTTTTTTTTGAGACAGAGTCTCACTCTGTCGCCCAGGCTGGAGTGCAATGATGCGATCTCAGCTCACTGCAACTTCTGCCTCTCGGGTTCAAGCAGTTCTCCTGCCTCAACCTCCCGAGTAGCTGGGGCTATAGGTGCATGCCACACACCTGGCTAATTTTATTTTTATTTTAGGAGAGACGGGATTTTACCATGTTACCAGGCTGGTCTCAAACTCCTGAGCTCAGGCAATCCACCCACCTCAGACTCCCAAAGTGCTAGGATTACAGGCGTGAGCCACCATGCCGGTCTGCTGTCTCCTTTAATCTTTTTTGTTTGTTTGTTTATTTTTGAGACAAAGTCTCACTCTGTCACCCAGGCTGGAGTGCAGTGGCACAATATCAGCTCACTGCAACCTCCACTTCCCAGGTTCAAGCAATTCTCCCGCCTCAGCCTCCAGAGTAGCTGGGACTACAGGTGTGCACCATCACGTTTAGCTAATTTTTTTGTATTTTTAGTAGAGACAGGGTCTCACCATGTTGGCCAGGCTGGTCTTGAACTCCTGAGACCCCCATGCCTCCGCCTCCCAAAGTGCTGGGATTACAGGCGTGAGCCATCGTGCTCAGCCTCTCCTTTAATCTTTACAGCAACTGTTATCTTTCTTTTTACAGGTGAGAAAAGGGTGGCACAGAGGATAACACGCCTGAGCTCACACAGAGGCAGAGGAGCTGAGCTGTGGACCCAGGAAGGCCATCTCTGCAGCCTCTGCTCTTGACCACCATGGGCTCCTCCTCTGGGCTAACCCAGCCCTTGCCAGGATCCTACATGGAAGGTATTATCATACCATTGAACAAAAGAGGACATGGAGGCACGGAGGGCAGAGGGGCTCCAAGATGGCAGAATTAGTAACTGGGGTGAGAGGGGGCTGGGATTAGCCTTCCCTTTACCCTTCCTGTTTGCCAAACACCTGGGCCCCATCCTGCCCAAGGTCAGCAGCCCGGGCGGCAGGATGTGCTTCTGCCTGGCGCTGGCCTTGGGGAGCACTTGTTTTTCCCTAAAGGAAGCAGCAGGTGTGGCCTTCTTTTTGGAACTGGCCCTGACTGGGTTGGAGCCAGGCCCAGCGCCACCCCCCCCCCGCCCCCGTCAATCCTGCATCAAGGCTAGGTCAGATCTAGGCTTGCATGGAGGGGCTGGAATTTGGGAGAAGGGCTTGGAGGTCAGTCCCACTTTTGTAAGCCTCTCGCCCTCTGGACTCCATAACTCCTGCTAATTGCACTCCTTGGATGGGACAGTGACATGGAAGTACCTCCCAGCTTAGTCTTGGGGAGACCTCTCCAAGGACAGTGAGGGAAGCTTGGGGGATGCCCCTACCCTCCTTTCTGGAGCACAGCCCTGGGGTCTCTGGAGTTTACAAGGGGTAAGACTCAAAGTGACTTCTCTGTCTGTCCCTCGTGCTAATAAAAGTTCCCATTCAAGAAAGAGCTGCCTAGGGATGCCAAGTTATCCGAAATCTGACATTGTAGCACCAACAGGTGTGTGCTGGGGGGGGCTTGGGCCTTCCCACCCCCTTCGAGGGAGCATTCTTGGGTGGGATGTGGCTTCTAACTGGTGTCACCACCTCAAAGGCCAATATCCCATGACCTAGAATTTCTACAACTGCCCCCCCCAACACACACCTGTTGGTGCTACAATGTCAGATTTCGGATAACTTGGCATCCCTAGGCAGCTCTTTCTTGAATGGGAACTTTTATTAGCATGAGGGACAGACAGAGAAGTCACTTTGAGTCTTACCCCTTGTAAACTCCAGAGACCCCAGGGCTGTGCTCCAGAAAGGAGGGTAGGGGCATCCCCCAAGCTTCCCTCACTGTCCTTGGAGAGGTCTCCCCAAGGACATTGGACTCGGGGACTGGCGAGACCACCTTGACTCCTTCTGCCAAGGCCCTTTGAGAGCTGCCCGTCCCGTCCTTTAGTGCTCGTGCTTAGTAAATCAGACTCTTGCGTTACGCCCCAGGGTGGGGCCAGGGGCTAGGGGAAAAGCAGGCCACAGAAAGCCCTTGGAGGGGCAGGGAAGGGCTTGGAAGAAACCGAACTCAGAATATGGGGCCCTCCCCTCACATCTTCCCAGACTTGAACGGGCGTCTTACTTCCGAGCTCCCTGCAGCCCCAGCCTCCTGGCCGTGTCTCCTGGCTGCTGAAGTACAGGCCGTTTTGCCACCTTGTGATGTGACCCTGCCTGTTGGTTGGGCCTCATCTCTCGCCCCTAGCTGTTTGCTTTCATTGCCACACCAGCCCTTTTGACTGTTCTTGAATCCATTATGATTCTTTCTACCCCAGGGACCTTGCATGAGCCAGCATCTTGCTGCGCTTCCTCCCATCGCGCTTGGCTAATCTGAGGCATTTTCTTTACACACCTGGAAAAAATAGAGCCTGGTGCCTTCCAAAACTAGGATGGTTGGAGAAAGTTTTTGTGTTGTAGCCTGAGGGTGGGAAGAAGAAGACACAATTTAAGCATAAGGAGGTGAGGCGGAGGCTAGGCACAATGGCTCACACCTGTTATCCCAGCACTTTGGGAGGCTGAGGCGGGTGGATCACTGGAGGTCAGGAGTTCGAGACCAGCCTGGCCAACATGGTGAAACCCATCTCTACTAAACATACAAAAATTAGCTGGGTGTAGTGGCAGGTGCCTGTAGTCTCAGCTTGTTGAGGGGCGGAGGCAGGAGAATTGCCTGAACCCAGGAGGTAGAGGTTGCAGTGAGCCAGGATTGCGCCACTGCACTCCAGCCTGGGTCACAGAGTGAGACTCTGTCAGAAGAAGAAGAAGAAGAAGAAGAAAAGAAGAAGAAGGAGAAGAAGGAAGAAGAAGGGCTGGAAATAGGCTCATGAGAGGTTTCTCTTCTGGAATAAAGTGTTTGCCTTTTTAGAGGCTCTATCTTCCTCTCTTTCTACCTCTGAGGGCCCATTCCCCTCACACTATCCTCAGATCTGAAGCCCCGGTTCCCCCTCACTTCCTGTCCAACACTGAAGCCCCATGGGACAGAGAGTGTGTGACAGCTCATGCAGGAAGCTGGTCAGACGAGAAGAGTGCTGGGCTAAAGGGGATAAATTTGGAAGGTACTCAGGGACCTGATCAGGGAGGACCCTGGGTCCCAAGTAGAGAGGTTTGAATTTCTTCCTCTAGGCACTGTGGAGCTTGGAGGGTTTGCGGGCAGCTGCCTTGGAAGGGCTGAAAGGAGGTGGACGGTGCTGGTGAGACACATCTCTTCCCCCTCCCTCTACCCCCCAGCCACAGAAGAAGGACTCTCCAGCTCTTGGATACAGCATTTTAATGCCAGTGGGCCTTTAGGACAGGGAGGAGGTGGGAGCCAATGTCTATCTCTGTGCTCCCACCCTGGCCCACCGTGATGGAGGAGACACTAGGGCTCCAGCTGTGAGCCTGGTGCTTGCCTTCTGGTTCAAGCCTCACCCCCACCTCCTTGGAACTTCTAGCTCAAGCTCTGGAGGAAATCCACCAGCAGGTGCTCAGGGAAGCCGAAATCCATCTGCAGCAGCAGGAAGCCCTAGAGTGAGAGGCCGGAGGAGAGAGGGGCAGGCTGGGCTGACTCCCAGGCCGCCAGGAGGGAGCCAAGCTAATGAGGGCCCCTCTGCCTGTCTCCCCAATAGGCGCCAGTCACCCTGGAAATCCTGTCTGGGCCTCCCTCCCCAGGAGACAGGGGCTAGCGAGGGGGGCTTTGTACTCACATCCTGAGGGATAATCTCAGGGTTGATGATGTCGAAGAGGCTCAGGCCTTTGCTGTTCATGAGGGCTGTAAACACTGCCTCCAGCCCTGGGACAGGGGACAGAGCCCCCCAGTCAGCCCTTCCTGGGGAGCAGGGTGGGCCTGAGGCTCCGCCACCGTGGGCAGCGGCAGATGCCGAGACCTCTTTGGACCTACATTCTGTAAACATGTTTTTTCACTTTGATTTAGAAGAGTGGGCCAGTGCTTCTGAGGATTGGGAAGAGTAGAGTTTGCCTGCTGGTAGCACTTGCCACTCTGCTGCCCAAAGAAATTCCACTCTGTCCCAAACTTGAGCTCCCAACCCACCCACAATGGCCACATGACCTGCAGTTAGCTGAATCTACCCTGCCAGGAAGGAGCCTTCCCCGCACAGCTTCTCAAAGCGTTCTTTGCAACCACACAGAGTGGCCTCCTTGCAAGTAGTTGTAGGAATGGCTTAATCCGCTCCTCTCTGGTTTTGGCTCCGTGGTTCAGATGGGGAAAATGAGGCCAAGAGATGCCAAGACACCCCACCAGGATAATTCCATTTCCACGCCCTTCTTCCTACCTAAGCCATGTGGACAAGCAGATATTCTAAAGGAAGGCACAGTCAGCTCAACACACTCTGTGGGGAAGGCGGCAGAGAGCTCTCAGCAGAGCCTTGTCCACGTGTCCACACCCCCAGCACACGTGTGCCATGATGTCTGAGAGTCTACCGCTTGAGTCACCTCAAACGGACAAATATTCTACCATTTCAAGGTCAAAAGGAAAATTGGGAACCATGAAGTTCAACACTCCCGTTTTACAGAAAGGGAAACTGAGGTTCAGGGCTGGGCTAGAACTAGGTCTCAGCCTCCCAGCCCAGGGCTCTTTCTGCTATATCAGGTTGCTATTAGGAAACCTGTGTCCTGAAAGTGGGCTGAGCCAACCCGTGGGGTGGCAGAGATTATATCCTGCAGGTAAACCAGAAACATGGCTCTCTGCATCTGGTTGAGTCATTGGTATGCAATGCCACCAGCAGGGAGAGGGAAGGGGGCCCAGACTGCTAAGTGTCAATGCCTGGGAACAGGGGCACCTGGAGCTCTGCCTGGGAAGGGCCCACAAGGTGAATGGGAAGCTCGGTCAGGCTTGGCAACCCCATTTCCCCTCCAGCCCACACTTACGAGACATGACCTCAGGGATGCCCACAGTGTCGATCATTGACTGCAGGAAGCTCTGGACGGACTCGGAACTGCTCTGCTGATCAGAGGCCTATGGTGAGCGCCCCCTGGAGCACAGAAGTGACCCACAGGGCAGATGCCACACAGCTTGGGCAAAGCATTCATGCCCATCTGCAAAAAAATACGTCCAACCCTCTCCCTCCTCTTGTCCCAGACAGTGCCTCTCCTGAGTGTTCCCTCCTTCACCCTGGGGAGGGCCGGGATTGCTGGTCCATTCCACAGAGGGAAAACTGAGATCCAGGGAGGGGCTGCTTGGCCAGTACTCTTCTGCCCAAAGCCCAGTCCATACCAACACGCTCTCATTTTTGTAACACAAGAGCTCTCCCAACGGATGTGGCAGGGAGAAGAAGGGTCACAAGAGACACGGAACGGACCGCTTGGTCCAGATTATTTTGATCTCGTTGCCCGCTTTCCTGAAGGCAGGAGGTCCAACAGGACTTATTTCTCCTGGTCTATCCAAGGCCACCTACCTCAGTCAAATTGGAAACAGTCTTTGGTGTAATCCTGAAATAAAAAAGAGATGAGAATTTGACCCTCTGTCAGGCCCCCTCCTGTAACATCCACCGGGAAAGAAGCTCTAGGAATGACAGCCAGCGCTTCTGTCTCGTTGCTCAGGCCTTTCTGGGGACTCTCGTGAGATTTGCTGTTCCAGCTGCCAGGCCCTGGCTCAGGCAGCGCTCTCCTCCTGCCGGGCCCTTCCTCCATTCTTCCTGGTACCCCGCCTTCTTCTGGACGAAGACTCCCTCTAGGTGAGGGTCTTATCTCCCTGCAGTCAGGCCATATGCCCCAGAGGGAAGGAGCGCTATTTCCCCACCAACACCCGTCCTGCGCCTGACTCCAAGGGGCTGGAGAGAGGTTTGCAGAGTTGACCGCCCCCTCTTCTCTGCAGCACATACTGGAAATCCAAGAGGCTTAAGAAGAGCTTTTTCTTGGAATAGGAGGCCTGGACGGTAGTTATGATATCCTGGGGAGAGAAACCAAATTTGCTGTGAGCCAGGGCTTTCCCTGAAGCAGAGAGCAACCCTCCTAGCCCAGGGCGCCTGATTCTTTCCATTGAGGGACCATGGGAACCAGGCTTAGCTATTGCTGTTCTGAGGAGAGTTCCCCAGCACCTGTGGCTTTGGAGTTAGGACCTGAGAAGTCACATGGGCACTTTCTGTTTTCTTTTCTTTCCTTTTTTTTTTTTTGAGATGGAGTCTCACTCACTGTGCTGACCAGGCTGGAGTGCAGTGGCACAATCTCAGATCACTGCAACCTCCGCTTCCCAGGTTCAGGAGATTCTCCTGCCTCAGCCTTCCAAGTAGTTGGGATTACAGGCCTGTGCCACTATGCCTGGCTGATTTTTGTATTTTTAGTAGAAATGGGGTTTCACCATGTTGGCCAGGATGGTCTCGATCTCTTGACCTCATGATCCACTCACCTCAGCCACCCAAAGTGCTGGGATTACAGGCTGAGCCACCACGCCCAGCCCTCCA